AATGGCTAAACATGTCTTCCCTGAGCAGGAACCTTACAGTATTGGCGCTGTCTGCATTCGGCAGTTGCGAATGAGTTTGCGAGGCATTTGGGTCGCTGAGCTTTGATCCTAGGGTGTGGCACCGTAGAGCCTGCTGCGCCCTTGGACGATCAGGCTCACACCTGTCACTGAGGCCCCGGCTGCTGGCCATCGTGGATTGTACAGAGGTTAAAAGTTAAAAGCGATGGCGAGACTATTCAGAAGTACCTTGAGAAAATACTCTCGGATGTGGTGGTCAAGCACGTCCAGCCCGGGTGCGTGGCAAAAGCTGCGCGGTGGCAAGAGGTGGGTTGGGCACGATTCGCAGGCCGAAGCGACACCAGCTTGACGGTAAGAGGCTTGCTGAACACACGTGAACTTTGAATACGAAGTTAGATCCAGCTCCCACGCACGAGACCTTCGACTGACGGCATGCCCCCTCAACCTCCCTAGGTTTTGCAGATTGGGCTCCAAACCTCCCTGGCCCTCCGCTTCCGCGGCACAAAGGAAGCCGGGAAGCCCCTGCCCGCCTTGCAGAAAGAAGCGTAGCGCGCTCACCAACCGCTGCGCCAGGGTGTCGAAGTGCCAGTGGTCAATTAGAAGCCTCATAATTCCTCGAAGGCGCCAATTGAAACAACGGAAGTCTATGACGCTCCGCCTAGAGCCGACGTGCTGCCAGCTTTCGGAAAGAGTTCAGGGATCTGGGAGCTGCGATGACAAACCCTTGGGCGGGCATTTTCAGCCGACATAACTAGTTAATGGAATCCGGCGGAAAGACTCCCGAAGTGCACCCAACGCGGCTGTGCTCAGCCATGGCTCCAAGCGAGGGGGACCACTGGCGCTGTGCATCGCAGCAAATGCTGTGCATCTTCACCTCGGTCAAGAGCCGAGGGGAGTCGTCTTGGCCTCTCTTGCAAGTTCAGACTAACCTTTCCTCAGATTCCATGCCCCCCGGGCACCGGGCCCTTTTTGGCAGGTATGGCAGGCCGGCGCAAGGGCATGCAGCTCGGAGCTGATGCACGGAGCGAGCACTACAACTCCGTTACATTATAATATCGCTGTTGTCGATTAGGACTCCAGTCTTTGTTTGCCAGTAGCACCGCCTTTCACGCCCGAGTCTGCACGGTGAGAAACTGCAACCCCTGCGCGGCCAGGTGGCCACATGGTAGCCCGAGGAGACCAGGATCGCGAGCTGCGTCCGCCGCGATGTGAAGGCCAGGCACAGGAGCATGCTGATCACCTCTCAGGTCTTCTGCGGATTTCGGATGCGGGCTCGTTGATATACCCTGCGTTTACACTGTGCATATATGTCTATATGTATATATATATATATATATACAGATATGAATAGGAAATCTTGTGTAGAGGAGACTCCTTCGTCTCCGGCCCCGGTCCCCATTTCCCCTTTCCGCCGGGTGGGTTTGCCTCCCGGGACCAGTACATGACGAGGACGCCCGCGATGACCCAGTGCTCTCCCTTTCGCAGCATGGAGACCTCTGGGGCGAGGATAGGCCGTAGGCCGCCGCACGTGGCACGGACAGGCTTTAATGGGGCTTTCGGGACTGAGAAAAAGCGCAGAGACAAAGCGAATTCTGAAGAAGTGCAGAAGGGGCCCCATAGCGACGGTCCAGGCGCTGGCAGAAGGGGTTGAGAAGGACGTTGGCGTGCTGAAGCATGACCCAGGCCTCAACGGTTCCTCTAAGTCTTAGACTTCACGCAGGCCGTGGTCCGTGGTGGGAGGTTTCGCTTCACGCTTCTCCCATACCCAGGCCTCATGCAAGAAGAGCACATCGTTCCGAATCAGGCCTTCCTGCGCGTTGCTCCACAGAGGCAGCTGGAATTAGACAGCCCTCGATGCATCCCGAAATGATGGCCAGCTAAAAGCAAACAAGAAAACACATAAAATGCAAAGCAGGAGATAAGCTTTATTCTATGATCTCTCCTGAAACCCGGCACCCAACCGCAAGACATCCATGTAAAACAGGATGGCAGCATACATTACAGCACCAATCTGGATGGTGAACGTTGCAGCCAGCATCTGCTTTTGCTCCGACGTTCTTCTCGATGTTGCTTTGCCCTTCCAGTTCTTGCTGCTGTCTTCCTTCAGCAGCTCGCAAACGACGCAAGAGTTTCCGGGCAGGTCCGCCAAGTGGCAGCTCGTCTCATTGCAAGCTTTCTTTCTGTGGAAGCCAAGGATGTACCGCCAAGATTCCACAACCAACGTGGCCGTGCTTTGTTGCGAAACTTGGTTCAGAACAGCATGCAGGAGCCAAACGAGGAATAACACGTGCAGCCACCAAACGTAGGAGGTCCCCAGTCCACCATGGTGAATCAGGTCGCTGACAATGAAAACCTACGGCAGTTCAACTTTGTTTTGCGATGGACCGATGTACAGGGACCAAATCCAGAACTCCAAGCAACCCATCTCCCTGCCGAAATTTATCTGTCGAAACACTTGAGCATTCAGGCCTGCCGCTTCATGTTGTCTAAACGCGGCACAGGCCATACAATCAAATTCCTGTGACGCCGTGTTTAGAATTGAGATTTAAACTTGTTGAGTATTCCACTACCAAGGTTTCAATTGCGACAGCTTCGGGCTGCCGCGCCACTGTTGCATGATACCAGCATTTGAAGCCGAGGTGCATGCACCATGGTGTCGTACCCCTGCCTGGGTTCACGGTCAGGCTCCTTGTGTCTGGATATGTTGCAAAGCATTCCCTGTCATGACAGAAGCCACTGCTGATCCTCCTCCGTCAGCCCCTCACATTTTCTACAAATGCACGACATGGGCTCAAGTCAAGACGCAAGAGAAATCGGAGCAGGCTCACAAGCTGAGTTCCAAGTGTGTAGAAATGCCAGTGGTCGATCCTTGGCACATCCGGCTTCCGAGCGCAAACCCCACGTCATCCATCGTTGCAGCTCGCAGCAAAACTATTGCACCAAAAAATTCAAAAGGGGTTTACAGGGTGCAGCGGTTGTAGCAATATTGGTTCGAGGCAACGCTAACTTCGATGGACGGACTGAGAGAACTTGTAAACTACTGTGTCAGTATGACATGGCGGGTCTCTTCAGAGGGTACGTCGCTCTGCGGAACGCCTAGGCCAGGCCCCCGAGCCCCCCGAGGCGGCGAGCGGCAGGAGCTTCATGATCCCAAGTGTTGGGGACCAGCACCTGCAACGGAGGGGCTTTGACCCGTAGGGACTTGAGAGTGCGAGGGCCTTCCAGGGCTCTCCAAATACTACAGGACTTCGAAAAGCAGAAGCAAGCACTGCTTGCAAGTGGGGGGCCGATGGGCATCCAGACAAATGTTGAACATCTTCACCTCAGCGCACGGACGGCCACCAGACAAGGCTGCAGCTGACAAAAAAAGCACTGGCCTTGGCTTGGAGTTCTCTACTCCTCCTGCTACTTCAGAAGCTTCTCTTCTCCCCTCCGCCAATACTTCTGAATTCTTCATAGCAGTCGCTTTGTCCACTGTTTAGAGAGCACCTGGTGCACCTAGCAAAAACTGCAGTGCATCACTTCCAACTTCCACCATCCGGTTCATGGGAGGACCGCAGGAACGCGAACTGCAAAGACTGCACAGCGTTGCAGTCCCATCCCCCTGCACACGCCCAACAGCACTCTTCAAGCTGACACGTCAGGCTTTGTTGGGTAGACCGCGATTGCCCCTACTCACAAAAACAGTTTTGGGTGGGCAGCGAGATGAGGCGAAAGTTCTTAGGTGTATTTGACTGTAGCAGCTGTTGCACTAACACACAGGCTGAGAGTTGTAGGTTGCGGTCCGACTTCTGGTGGGAGAGCTTCAGCTTGCGGTTCAGCCACAGTGTGGTAAATGGCGGAGACGAAGACAGCAATCTGTGAGTAGACGGTGATGTACGGCAAGCATAGAAGCCTGCGTCTCAGACGTGCGACCAGTCGAAAAGCAACCCCAAGCTCAGGCCCAGGACATCAACCAAGTGCTAAAGCTGCTAAGGAGCATACTCGCGACCTCCCGCGCCCAGTACATCACCAGCACGCTTGCGATCACCCAGTGCTGGCCTGGACGGCTGTGGCAGTGATTTGTCTAGAAGAGGGCCCTCTGAAAAACCTTGTTGAGCCGAAGCGGCCTTTCTGCAGCATGGAGATGCCGTACTTTCGATCTAAGCGCTGGCAGAAGGGGTTCAGCAGCACGTTTCCATGCTGCAGTGTCACCCAGGCTTCGTGCAGAAGCAGCATCAGCAGTGCCCCAGAGCCACCCTGGCCCGTGGCCGTGGCCGTCGCGTCGGCTTGGCCCGGCAGGAAGCCGGAGGCCCAGCAAAGGGCGGCATATCCTGGAGCTATAGGAACTATACCAGTCTAGCAATGCCAGACTCACTAGTGACATGACAAGAAGGATCGTGAGACGAGGCAATGCCGACGAGGAAGTCGGACCACATGACTTTGATTTGGGAGGGCATTCATGGTGTCTCGACTGCATAACTGCAAGCAAAGACTCCAAGACAGCCGGTGACGGCTGTAAGCACTGCTGGCACCCAGACAGGCTCGTGCATGGCAGAGGAGCCGTCGGACATGGTTACGTGTGTACAGTGTACAGCAACACAGATACGGTGCGGACGAATATGACGAATATGATGCCAGGCGTACGCACAGAACCCTGAGTACCCTTTCGTTGGTATCCGAAGCAGAGTTTGCAACACTGGCCGTGTTCGTTCTGTTTCTGTTTTTTCTACCATGCCTGTCTCCGAAGCCATTCTCTCCCTAGTCTTCCTAACAGGGCTTTTCATTTCGCTATCCTATTACGGCTCTGAGGCCAAAGACCTGCAGCGACGGCGCAAGACGCATCGACCAAAACTGCTTTTGCTGTTTTTGAATCTGATGCGACCCACGTTCTTTCCATGGCGATTCCTTGTACCTGGATGTAAAGCCGAGCTCCCATGAAGTCCAGCCCTGCCGTCCTTGCACTAGCTGTTTACCCATGCTTTTTCCTCCTCGGGCGGAGATCACATCGGGCCTTCAATCCCATGGGCCGCCACTTCCAGCGCCAGCTTTGGTGCTTTCTGGAGCAACGCCGGATTCACGAAGCTCACGGCAAACTGATTCACTGGAAAGCCCCCCCGGGTATGCACCAGAGGCTCGTCACAAAGCGCCATCGAGCAGGACGCGCCAGGATCCCAGCCTTTCAAAAGCGGACGGCCCCTACTAAAAGAATGATTCCCGAGGCTTTTGAGCCTCCCCAAAAAGCGCAGAGACGCGATGACTCGACTCAGCTCTTTTAAAAGTTTTAAAGGGATCTACGAGGGTTGCTATAAACTAAAAGGGTACCATGAAGATAATATTTACTATAAGTATAAGGGTCATAGTATCTTTATAGTACCCCTTATAATATAACTATAAGGTACTATGATATCTACTCTAAGACTTACTCTAAGGGTACTCTGAGGGTTAGCCGCCCCCGGGGCCCGGGGGCCCCGCCTTCCGCGTTGGTCTCCACGTTGCTGCCCACCGCGAGGAAGCTCCTGGCCAGCTTCTCGAAGATCGAGACCTGGGCCAAGCAGAGACAGAGACAGAGGAGCAGGAGCCTTAAGAAGAATTAGGGTAGAGGGGCTTCGGGGGTATACTAAACACCGTGATTATTGGAAGGAACATGGCATCTTATCTATACCCCTACCCTTGGTGCTCACAGCATCGAAAGATGCCAGGGGTGCTCTGCTCTTCAGCCCGGGGCCCCCCCCCCGGCCTCTCGTCGCAAGGCCTCCTCCGGGTTCTTCTGGCGCCGTTGAGCCTCCGAAGCCGCGGCGAAGCCGAAGTGGACCTGTCTCGCTCGCCCCCCATCAATTACAGTTAATTACAGTATCTTGCGCCAACATCCATGTCGTGCGTGCTCCTGGCCGAACCTTCGTGCCGTCGGTGCATTGCTATACTGCGATCCCTCTACATACCTCCTCCGCCTCGGGGACGTGCACTACCAGACTACCATTTTATCTTCCTTGTTGGGTGCCTCATCTGCCGGAGTCTTCGGCGAAAACCTGAAACGGCCTCCATGTCGAGGCTCCGAATCTTCGCCAGGTCGGCAGCGTTGGCCAGCAGAGCCTCCAGCACCGACCACTCCGAGCCTTCCAAGAAGCGAGCAGCGGAAAGCGGGGCCTGGGGCGGGGTGGCTCAGCGGCTCAGCTGGGGGGCACGGAGAACGCGGCACACGCACGGGCTCTCGGGGCCTTCCACGTCCATCTTCACGTGAGTCGAAAGAGGAGCCTGCCCTTGCAGCAGCTCAGAGAGGGTGGTGTAGTTCCGCCCCTCCAGCACGCCGCTGTCCGGCCCCAGGCAGGTGCGGAAGGCTTGGTACGGCGTCTCCTGAGCTTCGCTGCAGCTATCCAGCTACCCTCCTGAGCGAAGAGACTTCTCAGACCCCCGGCAGCGCACTTTCACGCGGATTCAGATTGCTGCGTTGAAGACAAGATGAAGCCCTCTGCGTGCTTCGCTCAGAACATTAATGCAAGGATCAGTTCCAAGGATCGTAGCAGTGGGACTGCTTCCCACGACAAGGGCCGGCAGCATTCGGCGCCGTCATGGAGAGTGGCGGCGACTTCTTGGGATCCTGCGGCCACTGGGGCGAAAGAGCCCGGCCGGTTGGGTGTTGGGAAGAGCCCTGGCCCAACCCGTCTGGGGCCTGAAAGCAATCGTAGAGCTTCGTGGGCATGTGGAAGAAATTGCTCATGGTTTCCTTATGGCATCGGCGTCTGAAAAGCGAAAACCCGAAACAGTTGAGGTTTGGAACGGGCTTCTTGTCGGTCCACTCTGGCCAACCTCTCTGCTTTCAGAGTTTCCATCGAGATCAGTTCCTGGCTTTTGTCCTACCAGAAATCACACATTCCGTCGGGCCCAGCCAGCAGATGCCTTTAGCCTAGGAGGTGCAAGGAATCGAAGACCTCACCCTCAAACGCAAGCGTTATTGGGGTTAGTTAGGGCCCCTTGGGGAGTGGGGAAAGAGAGGAAGCCCAGGTTCGCTCCAGAGGTCCCTCTCCTCGATGCCGAAGGAGAGGCCTAGGCCTGGGCCGCTTCTTCGAACCCCAAGCACCCTCGTCCCTCCCAGCGCAAGAGCAAAGGCCCGGGCCTTGAAGGCCCCTTCCTTCGGGGGCGAAGGCAGCCAGACACCAAGCGGAGTCTCCGAACAGCTTGAAGCCTCGCGATTCAGGACGATGTCACCACCCCTCACTGATCACCGCCGCCGTCCCAAACGTCCCTTTTGAAATTGCCCTCGTCGAAGCAATCATGACCAGAGAACGAGTGCCCCGAAAAAATTCAATGTTTAGGGCAGCCATCCAGTCCATGCATCCGTCCATTCGCAAATCTGTTCTTCCATTCATCCATCCATGCATCCGTTCATCCATCCGTCCCCGCATGTGTCCATCCACCCAGGCATCCATCCACCCATCAGCCATTCATACTTGCATCTTTTGAGCCATCCATCCCTTCATTCTTTCGTCAGTTCATCCATCCACAAACCATTCCAGAAACCCCTGTCTAAACCTTCTACAAGCCCTTCTCCTGTATCAACACATCTACAACACCCTCAGCAAACCAGCTTGCCCCTCTGCAAACCCCTTCTACCCCCTGGCGGAACTGCCAAACTGCTCCCCCACTTACTGGCGGGATGCAAAGACATAACGACGCAACCAACAGTCTTCCCACAAGTACTGGCGGGATCCATTCAGGAGCACGGCCAAAAGGCTTGCCCCCCAGCCGCGTGACAGCTTCTGACATGGATATGTAGTATGTCAGACCTTAGAGGAGTCAACGATGCGTTACCCTTCGCTCAACCAAAGACTGCACTCAGTTTCCCTCAAAGGACTTGCACTGGCCCCTCAGAGGCACTGAAAGTAATCTATCTCGTCCACGAAAGAAGACCATCAAACCGGAGCCCCTTGAAGAACCCTTCTGGCGCATCTCGGCAGCCCTCGCAGGCATCCTCGTTGACTTTCGGCGAGGGGGTGGCTGATCTTACGATCCGCTCACCTAGGTCCTTGACTTGCCCATCGGATGCACGGAGTATGGCTATGCGGCTATGTCTATGACAAAACCATAAACCCAGTGAAAAGACAAGACCTACACACAGCTCGGGATCTAAGCCAGAATCTAGGCCTAGCAACGAAAGCGCGGTCCCGTTCAAAACACAAGGGAAAAGCCCAATAAGTAAGACCGCTGCAGTGCAACCAAGGTTCCGTAGACCATGTCCTCTGTGTCTTGTACGGCCACGACGCCTGGGTTTCGAGGTAGCTCGAGCTGTTCGAGAGGTCTTTGGGTGCTTTCGGCGGCTTCCAACGGCTTTGGGGGACCTCTCGATAACTTGCATAGCGAAGCCGACACCTGCGATTTGCCAAGGCTAACGGTATGTTGTGTCCCGCGTTCAACGTCCGCCCGTGTTCTGACGGAAGACATTCCGGTCCTGCTTCAGAATGCTTCAGACACGTCCTCTCATCATGAACGAACACATCAAAGCCAAGCGCTTCAACGTTCCCTCAAATTCAAGAGTCCTGCATTGGCATGGGCTGGCATTGATTCTCGGTCCGTTTCTCCCAAACCCGACTCAGATCGACTGAGCCAGGAAGCAGCCACGGGCAAGCAGGGCTGTCCAGTGCGTGAGGATTGCGGGCAATGAGGCTCGCAGAGTGGCTTGCAGTGGGCCGCGCCCTCTCGGCGCACATGAACATGAGCTCCCCACCCAACCGGCACACACAGCCAGAGGAAGCTACAAAGGCCTGACATAGTGAAACAAACACGGCCTTGTGCATGAGCCAAACAGCCACCACAAGTCGCAAAGCAAAGTTACTATCTTCAGCCCTCGGTCTTTGCCATTCAGATTTGCCGGCTGGCAGTAAGAGTGGCTAGTACCAGCAGCCAAAAGTCAGCAACAGCAGCGATGTAAGGCTCAGTGTTATGGCTAAGGCCTTGCTGAGGCCATCTTGTCTGGCAAATAAGGCTGTGTAAATGCCTTGTCACACCTCAGAACCCAAACCTCATCCATCTCGAATGTCACACCACGGAAACCCCTGAAACGAAAATTGCCGGCCGACATTCAGCTCTAAACGCTTCTATACCAGTGGGCGGGGATTCGAACTAGAGGGGTAGTGAGGCACTCACTAGTTGAAAGTGGGTATTCTCGCGGAAACCCCATGCAATCCTGACAGCCGCAACTTCGCACCAATTTCTTTCGCCACTCGCTATACACGCGGCGGTGAGGCACTCTCGCAACTCCGACTTGAATATCTTGGACTATAGGGGGTTGGACGCTTGGGGAGCAGGACGCCCATTCTTGAATTTCGAGATGCCATCAACTGTGCACTATGTCACAGCTCCAAAAGCACGGCACGCCTAGACGTGCTCAATTTGCACGCAAAGGCGATGCGGTGTAGTTGGCCCAGTCCCCCCAGGCGCTTCCGGTCAGACCATCCTGCTATGCGAGAACAAAAACACATCGTACTAAACAAACTAGCTCCACTACGAAGCAATCAAACTAGCCACAAATGTATTGACCACCCACACTAAGGCGGTGGCGTGCAGGATGACACTAGCGCCAGCTGTTATATCGATGCTTTCGATGCTGATATTTGATCTCCCGCCTGAAAGAACATGCCGATGATGGCCATCATCGCAAGCCTTCCGTTGGCCAACTCTGCGGACAACTTCTTGGTCTTCTCAGCTGGGTCGCTGGAGGTCAAAACCTTGAAGCCGAAGTCGCCCGCTGCGGCTGGGGTGCCGGGAGACTGGTCCTGGGAAACCTCGCAGAAGGCCATGTACGCGAGGATCTGTCCCCATCCTGCGGCAGGCACCTTGGAGATCGCAGCCAATCCGTTGGGCACATCTGCGAACTTCAATCCAGCTGATGGAGACAAATACCCAGGGAACTTGCCAGTGATCCTTACAGGGCTGACACGATAAAATTGAAACACAACTCCCTAGAACCAAAAGCAATTCTGACAACACGAAACATCTGTTCAGACATCTGCCTAAGCCAACACCACACGTGTATGTTTTGTTTGAGGAGGGGGAGGAGGTGGCGGGTATTACTATCGGGCACCTGGGGTAACAATCCAGCGCAGAGTCGCCGAGGGCGGATCCCAGCCCACCCCCATGAAAGCAAGACATTATGTTTTTTGAGCCGGGGGGGGGGCCGGGTACGATTATCGGGCACCTGGGGCAACAAACCAATGCAGTTGCCGAGGGCGCATCGACCCCCGGACAGCAAAACATGATTCTTATGTGTTTTTTGAGCAGGGGGCGGCGGGTAGTATCAGATCATCGGGCACCTGGGGCAACGTGAGAACGAGGACCCACGGCACCTGACTTTTTGGCAGTCTGTTCCCGTTCGTCACCGAGATAAAGCTGTGTTGACTCCGAATTCCACTTGCTCTTTGCCACCGTGTCCGCCTCCGCCCCTTCAAGCTGGCTGAGCAACGCTTCGTGCAAGCGGACCTTCAACGGTGCACCTTCTTTCCTGTAGGCCTTGGGCGACGGCGTCCCTTCCCTTTACCTTTCAAAAACGCAGTGACTTCCTCTGCGGTGTGCCCCAGACACTCCTCCAACACAGCGCGGTGGAGGGTCCCAGGTGTGTACCTCTCACTTTTGAGCCCAAGGGGTGGCCAGACCCCCTCTGCAGACTTTGCTACCGCTGCCTTGCACGGGCTGGCGTCACGGTCACTCTGGCAGAGGGCAACCACTTCCTTTGGGTGTTCGCGAACCCGGCCCTTAAACACAACTAGTTGGTGAGCTGCTCGAACTTCCCCGGCATCGTTCCAGTGCGCGTGAGCTGTTCTTTCACCCGCGCCACTTGTGCCTTCAAGGCGTCCTCGTCGCCTTGACCAGCATGTGGAAGTGTCGAATACTATTTCGCACCTGCTGTCGCGTTGAAGCTTTAGCCACCGCCGAAACATCGTCAGCATACGTCCTCGCTGTAACCTGTGGCACATCTGATTCCGCAATCTCAGGCAACACACCTACGATGGCATTGAGCCCAATCATGCTCGAAGCGCATCTCTGCAGAATACCATTGGAGGCTCGCCAAAATGCAGTACACGATCCGCGTGGTCTAAAGACACGCTCAAGTCTATCATACATGCCCCGCATCGCTCGCAGAAGATTGGGATGTGCACCTCGCTAGTAGCATGGTATCCACTGGCACCAAAAATCAAATGCCTTCTCAAAATCATACGGTATACCGCCCACCAGTTGGCATTCACCGTACATGTCAGCCTGGGGGAGTTCAAGTGCTACGTCCATGGTCATCGATTCAGCTCCCCGTCGCGGTCTACGTGCTGGAGTCCGTCAGCAATGTACTGACAATCGGTTTTCAGCCAAATTGGCCTGGCGGCGGCCACGATCACAGAAGCGGCCGCAGCGAGCTCAGCACGCTCAACGGACTGCACGGGCCCTACAATGGAAAAATTGAAGTTTTGGGGACAGCCGCTCCAAAAAAAAAACCGCCTCCAGCTCTGCTGAGCCTGGCGTCTTCCCTGTGAAAACAGAACCGTCGACCCAAGCCGGCAGAGCGCTACACCAACAATGGGAAAAACACTGCTCGGAAGGCTGAAAGTTTCAGGTTCAAGAGAAGCTTGCATCTGCACGATGCGTTCGGGCAACTGGAAGACACCGCAAAGCTGAGTGCACATGGGCCACTGCTGCACTTCACTGAGAGCAGGAAGCTGAAAGTTCGCGCGAACATCATCCCACTAAGGGCAGCACCAGTAAAGGTGTGACAATGTTTCAGGCTCCCTTTTGCAAAAGGGCACAGCGAAGAAGAAACCGTGCCTTGAACGTGAAAAGCATGCTGTGTGAGAGCGCCGTAACACAAAATGGAGCGCATCACACCTTTGTCGTAAGAACTGCACGTGCACGAGCGCAGCAAAGCACTCGAGGCACAGGCGTCAACGTGATCAGCGACACCATGAAGACAAGGTCGCTTTGCAGTCCGAGCAAATTCACGAAGCTTGAAAAGAAAATGCGAAGCGTCGCCAAGCAAAAAACTAAGCGAACCGCCATTCCACTGAAGCTGGAAAGGAGACGCCCAGTGGAGCGACAGGGCTTCATAAGCACGTTGGACTTTTGAGTCGCCATGCCAGCACGGCCTGTCCAAGAAGCAGCTGACCCGCGCATGCCAAAGATCAACCCACATGGGATGCGAATCAACACAGCGCCTAAGAACCTGCTGCGCACAGGTCAGCACGTGTACAGGTCGAATTTGGTGAGGATCCACCAACTCACCTCTACCAGAGACACAGTGCTGATGAAGCCAAACCTTGTTAAAACAGAGCAAGAATCTCAGGACGGCATTTGCACATGCGACGCAAGGTAAGCAAGGTGCGGTAAGGCGAAGCTTGCACAGGGTCAAAACGGTGCCCAGCGTAGAACAAAAAACTAAGAGCTTCAGGAGCCCTTTGCTTACGGCCGCGCCAAACCGCTTTGAGACGAGCAGCGCGTAACTTTTTGGAGTTCGGCCAACGGAGGCAGTGACAATTCACAAGCATGAAGAGCCATTGGGATCGAGGCCGCAGCAACGATGGAAACCTGCTGCTCAGCAGACAAAAGAAGGCAGGCCACACGACCAACCTCAGCTTCACTGCTCTCATTCATGCTCTCAAACAAAGGAAGGCGAGAATGGCGCGGAATGCCACCAAGATACGAAAAATCCTGGAGAACGTCCAATGAGGACTGGGCCAAACGCAAGGCTTGACGGTCTTTGACGACATCATCATCATCATGAAGGGTCCAAAGTTTGCACTTCTTTGGTTTAAGCATTTCCATGGTGACAGAAGCATACTTGCCTGCAAGTTGGAGAAAGGAGCTAAGCCCATCAGCCATCATGGAAGATGCACTTATATCACCTGCATAGGCCTGGCCGAAGGACAAGTGGCATCAACGGCCCCAATTAGGGCATAGGGTCTTTTAGGGTTTATGGCTTAGGGTTTTTGACGGTTTGGGGCTCAAGGTTTTTGAGGGTTCAGGGTTGGGGTTTGTGGCCTAGGGCTTTTTTGGGTTTTGAGGGCCTTAGGGTTTAGGGTTTGCGGCCTCAGGGTTTAGGGCGCAGGGTTCTTTTAGGGTTTAGGGGCCTTGGGGTTAGGGTATTTTCGGGTTCAAGGCCTATGGTTTTTTCGGGTTGAGTGAGGTGGTTTAGGGTTTTACTGGTTCAGGGTTCAGGGTTTTCGGCCTGAGGGCTTAGGGTGGTTTCGAGCTTAGGGGCCTTAGTGTTTAGGGCTTCTGGTTTTTTTGGGTTTAGGGCTCAAGGTTTTTTAGGGTTTAGGGGTTGAGGGTCTTCGGGCGTAGGGTTTAGCATTTCCGTTTAGGGTTTAGGGGTTTAGGGTTCAGGGTTCCCGGGCTTAGGGTTTAGGGTCCCGGCCCGGCCCCAAGGTTCAGGGTTCAAGGTTTTCGGCCTTAGGGTTCAAGCTTCAACGGTTTCGAGAGCTCAGGGCTCGGGGTTTTTCAAGATTTAGGCTTAAGGTTTTTTTAAGGTTTAGGGCTTACGGCTTTTCAAGGTTGAAGGCTTATGGATTTTGCCGGTTTAGGGCTTTGGGTTTTTCAGGGTTCAGGGGCTTGAGGCTTAGGGTGTTGTTTTAAGGTTTGGGCTTAGGGTTTCTCAAGTCTTTTTTTCTTGCAGTTAAGGTCAGCGAAACCCACAGTTGTGGGCTTAGGGTTCTTGCCCACAACACCCGACCCACAAGAGGAGGGGCAAGCACCTTGCAAGTGCCGTCACCCAGACTTCAGAACAACTCCCG